TACCTTTCCCAGAAAGATAATCTCTTCCAAGGACTGGCTGGGAAAATAGGGACAGCACGAGAAGGAAGATGACACATGCATTAAAGGAAGAACATAGGTTTGCCACAGAGGCTAGAAGAGCTTGAAGGGAAAGTGTCCACAAGGACCAAGTGTGTGAGAGAGTTTTGCACGCCTTGGAAGCCACAAAGAACACACAGAGATGGAAAGTAAGATGAGATGTACGTAGAGAGTAACGACAGATGAAACCTGAAAGGACAGTAGGGACCAGATTATATAGGATTTTGGGATCTTGCTGAAGAGTGTGAATTATATTCTGTAAATTAGAGTTTCTAAAAGTATGATCTTCAAAATTCCAATGTTACAATATGTGCCAAAAATAAAGGAAAGGAAAACCAATAATAACCAAAAAATCCCAAACCAACCATAACCAATTTGATGGTCAATAAAGTTAGGAAGATCAGAGATCTTGGGGCAAATAGGAAACTAAACACTCTGAGAATCTTGACAGGAAAGAAATCCACTGAACTTTTCTAACCTGGTGTTTCTCAAACTTTTTGATCATGGATGGCTTTGTATCTAACATCTATTAATTTCCTGCCTGGGAACAGGCTGCTCTGGGCAACAAGGAGATGCCGAAAATCAAGAGAATATGATGTGTGGATACGTGTTTTGAGAAGAATGCTCTGGAAACACAGTGAAGGCCTGACTGCTGGAAGGCAGTATGAATGGAGATCAGGTGTGAGAAGGCTAGAGTGGTGATTCAGCTGAGAAATGAGAACCCGGAAGGAGTGGAGATGGACAGAAGGGGCTGAGTGTGAGACATAAAAACAGAAAATTGCCAGAACCTGCTGACAGACTAGATATGGGAGACAAGGGGAAGGAAAAAGAAAAAAGGGTGAGGGTACAATTAACCAAGACAATGAACAGAAGTGGAAAACTGAGATTAGGGAGAGTGTTAATGAGCTCTGTTTTAGACAGGCTGAACCGAGGTACATTCACGGGGCTGTAGGAAATGTAGGTCTGGAACACAGTGGGGAGGCCTAGTTTAGAACCAGTCGCGAGAGACCCTGGGTGGCTGACACGCGAAGTGTATCACAGGGCCATGGAACAGCCAGAGGGAGGCCTGAACCCTGGGAATCTGGGATTCAAGGTAAGAACTTTACATGTAAGTGACCACTGACTTAATGTCTCTTTGGCAGGCTGTATATTATTCCAACATAGCTTATGCTGCTGATAAATAATTTAGAATTTCTCTCTGGGGACTACCTTGAGAACATGTTAATTATAAACACACAGATCATGCCTGCCTTGATTATTCACTTTATTCTCCATTGGACACCAAAGACCTTTTGGTTTTTCATGAGAACGGTGAGGTCTCTCCTCAAGAAAAGATTTGTAATCAGCAGGGATATTTAAGAGACCTTGGAAGAGTCCTTGGAATAAAGTAGCTTCCATCATAGACAACATTCATGAGGAATGTCTAAATGCTGGCTTACTTGTTCAAAACACAAATTACATTACTTTGTGGGTCATACCTGCTATATAACAACACTGCTATGTGCTAAGTTACATTTATCACCTTTTTTTGAAGACGATTCTATCCTCATTATAATGTGGCCTTTGGGTAGTAAGTGCTAGTCCTAACAAACTTTTAAATTTTAATGGGATTCATGAGGAGCAGGGAAAGCTCCTGAGAATGCGGGAGATGGAGGCTTAGTGCTGCAAACTGACCAGGGTGAGTTTGGGAGGGTGCATCAGGCAGAATGCTCATTACACTATGGAAGCAAACAAATGAAGACTGTCAGCTCCCATTAGCATCTTCTGATGCTCTCTATAGAGCCATATGGAGTATGTGAAGGCGAAAGAAATTAGGGGTTCACACAGTGAACTTTCCATGAAAGAAATCACCCATGGAAATAACTTACCTGTTTTCACAGCAGCTATTAATATGTAGTACTGTGGACAAGCAACTTCCTAAGGGCTTCTGAGGAGTTTTATAGAAAAAGGTGGTCATCAAGTTGGGTGTCAAACTAACGCAAATTTTCCTCATGGTTCTAGGAAAAGAAAATGCTAAACCATGGGCTATTGATGTGCTGCTAGACTTGGGGGGAAAAATCCATTTCCTCAGAAGACACATTTAATGAGGCAACTGGGGTCTAAGGTGATAAATTAGAAATTCAAGTAAGGGCATCAGGCTTAGAGGAAAAAGCAGAAGCTCGATGAAAAATGCAGGCAGGGGGAATGAAACGCTACTCTGTGAAGTGCGTGTCTCCAGGCCGACACGTCTATGCTTGCTGATCTTGGCTATGATTGCTAGTTTTTACTGCCATTCATCTCGGACTCTACTACATTTGTTCTGGGATCCTGAGAATAAAGAAAAAAACAAAAGACAAGACTCTGGAAGGCTTACTTTGCCGTCTTCCATGTAGACATTTTCATTATATCCCTTTACTATTGTGCGATCAATGAAGAGGCTGCGCATGACGACAATCACTTTCAACACCTTTCCCAAGGTCACCTGCCAAAACACAGACATGGAAGCTTATGCTTGAAAATGCAATTCACACAAAGTTGGATCAAACTGTAACAAGAAGGAGTTAATGTTTATCCATCTGATTCTTAAACGATGCAGAAAATAACTTTTTTCGAGAAGGCAAAGTTGTGCCACCATCCTAAAACATTTAATTAAAAACTCTCAACAACAGTAAGTTCTTCACATAATTCCTTCAATATGTAGAGGATCACATTCTGGTTCACAAACTCTTCAGACAGGTTTACATGTCTGCTACCTGCTGAATAAAATAATGTTGGCTTCCTATTTCTCCCACCTACAGATTACCTTCTTCAAACTCATTTACTGACATCAGGTCAGTTCTAACTCATAGTGCTTTATCACTGGATTTCTAAGGCTGTAAATTGCACTAAGAGGAGACTTCCTACCTTTCTCTTATAGAACCACTGATAAATTTGGATTGCTGGAGTTGCACAACTTGCTACATACTGTGTCATGAAACCTGTAAACTCAGTGCTGTCAAATTGGAAGTGATTCATATAGCGAGTTTTCTGAGGTGGTAAATTGCATGAGAAGAGACTGCCCATCTCCTTCCCATGAAGCAGCTGGTGGATTTGAATCTCCTGTCTTGGGGTTGGCTCTGGAACTCCAAGATTTAGTGAGCACATTTGTTTTCTGATTATGTTTTGGTTCCATCCATCCATCCACCCATCCATGTATGAACTAGAGCTTTTATAGCCTTGAATATAGAGTATAACACAAACAACACCAATATACTCTAGTTGAATTATATAAAGAATTTGGTATAAATAGAGAAGTAAGTACTAGGAAGCTTTGGTGGCCTAGTGGTAAGAAGCTGTGCTGCAATGCTAAAGGCATGCTGTCTGACTCCTCCATCTGCTCCTCAAGAGAAGGATGGATAATCTCCTCCTGTGTGATTTACTCCTTCTGAAAATCCACTGGAGGACCAGGTATGGGTTGGTCCTAACAAGAGAAGTACTACCAAAAATGTAACTATAAAGGAAATGCAAACTTCTACCACTGATCTGTTAGTATGTTACAGTGTGGTGGTGTGCCTGTTGCTGGGATACTGCTGGAAACTATGCAAATGATATGTCAAACATCGAAGGAGTTGTGGTGGCCTAGTGTGGCAAGAAGGTACTCTTCTGACCCAAAGGCAGCCGGTTTGAATCTACCAGCTGCTCCTCTGGAGAAATAGGGGCAATCTCCTCCCTGGTGATAGTCAGTATCAGAAAACCTCCTGGAGGATCAGCTTGGAGTCAGTTCCTACTAGATGGCACAAAACATTTCCAATATCAGAAGAGATTTTTGAATGAGAAGGCAGAATAGACAGACAGCAGTCCAGGTCCTGTTCAACTAACACACCAGAAAACAAAACAGAGATGGATGCTAATTATGGAAACTGCAGTTTAAAGGGAAAAGATGAAGAAGTAATTCTAACATGTACAGAAGAAGAAATGGAACAAAAACTGTAAATGAGATAGATGGACCATAGAGTTATAAACAGTGTGGCCTGCCCATCATGAACAGCTGCCAGGTCAGCACAAGAATCCAAATACCAGTGACAAGAAAGGTACAATTTCCTCTTTGTTCCCCATATGCATCCAAGGATGACCAAGGGACTCTCCTGATCAATACCATATACCAAATGAATAGAAGTGTTTCCTTGGCCTACCCAGTTCTGTATGAAGCTTTGTATCTGGTGCAGGGAATAAGCACCCGCTGGGAGACTGTGCTATGCCTGGTTGGAAGTCAGCTCCTGGATTAATGGGGGCACCACTTGTAATGATATTAATTATTTTTAATTAATGAACATTATAAAACAAAATGCCTGTGAATGGTTGAATGAAGATGCAATATGATTTGTAAACTTTCAGTCAATTAAAAAAAACAAACCAAGTTAACAGCTGAATGGGAATTCCAGAACATTTAATTGTGCTAAAGAAGAACCTGTATAAAGATAGTCGTTTGAAGAGAACAAACAGATACTATGTGGTTTAAAAATCAGTAAAAGTATGTGTTAAATTCTGTTCACCAGCTTATTCAATTTGTATGCTGAGCAAATAATCAAAGAAACTGGACTATAGGAAGAAGAATGTGGATTTAGAATTGGATGAAGATCAACTGACAACATGTGATACACAGAAACTTTGCTTGCTGAAAGCTAAAGAAAGACTTGCAGTAATTATTAATGATTAGACATTACTCCTCAACATAAAGCAAAAATCTTCATAATTACCTCTGGGAAACTGCCAAAGCAGTAATCAGAGGTCAATTTATAGCAATAAGCAAACACATCAAAAGACAGGAAAAACAGACTATTGACTCTCTTGACAATGAAAACACCACTTGCCAAAACCTCTGGGAAGCTGCCAAAGCAGTAATCAGA